AAAACTCAGTCTCATATTAAAATGATGAAATATTATTAATTAACAGAATTTTATGTAATTAAAATAATATACTTTTTGTTTTTCTCCATTTTCACACCTAGGTGGAAGTGACATTAGTGCTGTTGCATATTTATAGGATTCATGCGTAAATTTCATATAAATTCTTTGGATTTAATTACAGGTAGGGAGTAATAAGCTCGTTATATGTATAGTTTTTCTATTGATGTGCACATGAATATAATTAAGAATTTTGAAATATATAAGATTTTCTAAATTTTCAAAATGAAACTTTTATATATGCATAATAAAAGCTATGAGTTATATAACAGTATAACACAAAACAATAGGTTATAGTTAATTTGTATTTGGAAGCAAGTTCCTATAATATTATCACTTGCTTACAAAATTACAAATGATCTTACTAGTTACTAAATCATGCAATATATATGTTTGCATATTAAATTGCTTTAAATTTTTAAAACACTCTGTATATATAACATATATATATATAAAGATAAAGAATGTGATAAAATTTTGTTAATAATTTTGTACACCACCTTACGATATACAATTTTTTTTTTCTTCAAAATTAATTCATTTTAAAGTTTAACTTGATTGACAGCAGATCGTTTTATTATACGATATAAAAGTTAAAAAAAAAAAATATTTAAATAAAGTGTTAAATCGGAAAATTCAATTGATTAAATTCGAATATAATATTTAATTTTTTATACCACTTTGTTTCAAAATAGATTTTTTAAAGATTAAATGTACGAGAAAGCTATATAGGCAGCAAATAAATTATTAAAAAAATTTTTTTATCTTAATTTTTCATCTTAAATTTAATTAATTTTAGAAAAAAGAAAAATAGTTTATATTTGTTGATTTTTTTTCATTTTTTATCTAATCAGGAAAAGAAAAACAAAAAAATTTGATAAAAAATTCATCACCATTTTTTTTTTTGTTCACAATTATTTTAAGTATATATAATTGTACTCTTAATTAGTTAATAATTTAATAATTTCTTTTGAAAATTATTTACTCTTTAAAAACATCATAGCTTAATAATTAATATTTATTTTTATTAAAATAATCAATACATTAATTGTAATTAAAAATTTTTTTTTATATTTTCAACAAAAAGATCAAAATAATTATGCGACATCAATTAATTTGAATACACAATAATTGACACATAATGTATGTAAATTATTTACGTACATTAATACATAAAAATATATTTGGGGTGGTTAAGAACAGTATATATAATTAAAAATTAAAGTTTCGAACTTATGACTTTCAATTTAAAGAATATTATATAAAACAATCATACAGGGTGGTTATAGCTGTGTGACATTTCGAAAAAACTCAGGATATTCAAAAAGATAATGTGGAACTTAGTTACAAGAATGTTCTTCTTCACCTTCAAAAAGATAGGCAATTACTGGAATTGTAGGCAATTACTTTTCTAAAATTCAAACATAATGTCAGCTTATTCACCAAATTAATGTTTATTGTTTAATATAGAAGTTTGTTGCTTAGTTTGTATTTAAGTAAACAGGCAAATGACTTAATCATCTATGTACTTACATATTAGGGGGCTCAGAAGCAGAGTGACGTAATCCAGATGGATAATGTAGGTTATGCCATTTTGCTTTTGAAAAATCAGAAAATTTTTACAAAAGCAAAAGTACTTTTGTGAAAAATAAATACTGCCACTCTGCTTCTGAGACCCTCATATAGTATGTATCCCGTATATTAGAGAATATAAAACTATCATTGACTTCAACGTTGCATGTAATATTGTTTTGAAATTCAACAATTGCCATCTATAAATTAAAATGTATGTATTTTATTACTATACAACTGCATTTTTTTAAATTTATCAACAAAAAATTAATTGTTATATAATAGTTTTTTATATAACCAAGTTGCAGACTTAACATAAAATTTGAAATTAATTTTAAATTAGTTTAAAATATATTTTTTATTTATTTTAATTATAATGAAATTTTAAAACTGATATTTTTGAAATAGAAAATGTTGTATAGCAACAAAAATTTTATAAATTGTTCATTTTTCATTAAATTCTTCGAATATAATTTTTTATATTAATTATTTTTGTACTTCAAAAGTCAATCATTTTAGAACAATTTATTAAAGAATATTAAGAGTTATACAAGAAATAATTTTAATTTTTTAATAAAATTAATAAAATTTTTAAATTGAATTTTTGCATTTAATTGAATCAACGATTATTAATCTAATTTATGAAGTATAAAAAAATGAAGAATTTTAAATAATTTTCAAATCACATGAATAAATGACATCCTCGCCATGATTATCAAGAATGTTATAAAACTGAAGAAACAGCATGTCAACTGGATGAACACCTACTATAATTGACATAAATAAGAAAAAAATAATCTAATTCTGGAGATCATTTATACTTACTATAGAAATTATTCAATTTCAATTCAATTTATTAAAAAATTTGAAAAAAAAATTATGAATAATTAAAAAGAATTCACCTCAACTCTTAAGAGTCATTATTGAGTTACAATTATTTTTACAGATAGTTATTTAATAGGGCACAAGACTTACACATTATATATACTGTTAAAAATCTTTTAATTTATAATGGAACATAAAAGTTAAATTATATTGGTTTATTTATTAGAAGAAATGAGAGTTTATAGTAATTGTATAATGTTTTTGAATATAAAAAAAAAAACTGCAAAATTTAATTATTAATGAAGCTATAGTGAGCATAAAATTTTTCGTCTGTAAATTATTGACAATAGACTTAATTTTAAACCAGTAAGGTGGTAGCTGGTTGACGTTATTGTACCTTTTTGTCGATTTTAGAAATTTCATTATTCTAAGACCCCTATGACACAGTAAATCCATCCCAACATACTACATTTATTTTCAATGCTATAAATTCCCTTGTACACTAAAATTTTTTAATTTAATATATTTATATAGCTACATAGTATTTTAATATTAGATTTCATATGTTACTCTAATTTTATATGAATGATCTTATTTGATCGTGTATTTCGCACCGCTAAAATAATTTGTTGCAACAGCATTATTGTCTTCTTATTATTATAAAAGACAAAAAAAAAATTATTATTTAACTTTGTCATAACGTATTGTTTACTTTATCTGTCCTGATAATTTAAATTTATTATTGTTATACTTTTTTGTTATTCTATTCAATAATAATTATCAAGGTAAAAAATTTTGTGAATTTTTCCTATATTCAAACACAAAATTAATTTTAGAGCTTTTTTCTTATTATATACATATCATACATATATATGTATATAGATATTTACTAAAACAATTTTCAAAAAAATTATTCCAATTCTAACCTCTATTTCTTTTTGCAGCTTCACCGAAAGATAAAAAAAAAATGGTGTTTTGTAAAATAATACACATACTTTGCACAGGTAATAAATATACCTAGCCTATAAATGAAATTATAATGAAAATATTATAGTAATATATAAGTTATAATATAACAATATAATAAAAACAACAAATAATAGTAAAAAATCGAATATATATGACATATGTACATGCATAATAAATTCGTTTTTTACTAATTAACACCTTTAGTAAAATTTAGTTTATCCATATATATAGATTTAGTATATGAAAAGTGTGTAAGAAAAAGTAATCTAGGGTATGAACAAATAATAATTATGTATGAATTTTTTTTTACTATGTATGTATGCACAAATTTCATTTTTTAGCGTATATAAGCTAATATATAAAATTATTTTATTAAAATTTTTGAAATTATATTTGGAATATAGGAAATTAAAACTGTTATATGCACATGTGCAATATTAATTTGGGGTTTTATTTTTATATTGAATATTTTCAATATTTAATACAAAAATAAAACCACAAATATTTATTAAATTATATTTATTAAATCAATATTGCTAAAAAATTAAAATTCTATTATTTTCTAAAATTCTAAAAGCAAAATTTTAAATTAAATAATAAATCTGTAAAAAAAAAATTAAATTTTTTATTTTAATAATTAATAAATACTCATTAAACTTTAAAAATAATTTTTTTTTAAATTAATTATGTACATTTAATATATTTGTGGCTTAAAACATGATTGAAAAATAATGATAGTGATCAAGATTTCGAAAAAACTAAGTAGGATTCTTTATTAACAAAAATGCAATTGAAAATCTTATTAAAAGTAAAGTAAATAAATTACTAGTATTAAGTACAGTATTTATATTCAATAATAACAATTTTTAATTTAAGTTACAAGTATAGAAAAATCTTAAAAAATTTACTATTTTAATAATTAAATTTAAAAAGTTCTTAAATTAAATTATTAATTTTTTTTTTCAGGTGTTTCAGAAATATTGGTTGTCTTTTGAACGGATAGAAAATCAAGAGAGCTATCCGTCGACAGTAGGGAATTAATGACTGTCATGGAATTGCTCTCTTTATGGACTATTCGAAAAACAACATAATTATCAAGTGTGAAAAAATACTCGTAGAATTCTAGTTGTATTTATTCTATAATCGTAATAAATGGTATAAAATTTATTACATATTTTAAGATTTTAATAATAAAATTTTCAACAACAAATTTTTAGTGAGTTTCTTTTTTAATTTGAAAATAAATTTTATTAATTTTTTTCTAATTGTAATTTCAAAGTGAATATGGTGTGGATTTGTAGGAATAGTATAAATTTTGTTTCAGTTGATAAAAATAAATGGTTATTAAAGGTTAAAAAGTTTGGAAGAAGAGAAGTGACTTGTTTAAAGGATCAAAATTACGAAATTTCCAAGAAATGTAGCATCTTTTGAAAAATCAGATGTTATATTGTGGATACCCGATTAGTTGGTTACAATCTTACCAATATTTACAGACAGCACATAATATGAATTCAACAATAATTTTAAAAAATAAAATCAAACACATTTAACTCATTTATAAATGTATAAAAAATGTATATTTGTGTGTATATTAGATAAATGCATAACAATAATAATTTGTACATATATAAATTATAGAATAATATGTACATAATATATTTATAAAAAATGTATAAAAAATTTCTAACACCACCTAACAATAAATTCATTAGCAAGAGACTCAAGGTAATGTAAAGTAATTTGAGTTTCCTTCCCTTTTTTTATTATTATTTTTGTTTTTTATGAATATGTAGTATATCAATACTAAAGATTAGATTTTAAAAATGGCTTTAAATGAAGATGAAATGATCTGTTAACTGGTTCCTTATTTAACGGACTCTTTTTTGCTTCCATAAATATTCTTTCGTAAACATTACCATCATATGCCCCAAGGGCTGAATTCAAGAGTCCATCATGTATGTCAAAGCCGTCAACAATACCAACGGCATTTCGACGAATTTTTTTTAATAAATTTTCCAGTCTTGTGTGTAAGTCATCAATTTGTTTGCCATTTACCGATACAAACTGTAATAAAAGAAATTTTTTAAGTAATTTTTAAATATAATAGAATTAATATACCCTCATTATGTCTCCAAGATAAGCTAAAAACTCTGTAATAGCATATAATTCCATCAATTGCTCAAAAACAATTCCTAGTTCTGAAGAAACTGAGTTGATAATATCTTGTATTGCAAGATAAGATGTTTGTAAGATATAAGTTCTTCCAAAAAGCTGATAATATAAATAGAATTATTATTCTTAAAAATTCCATTTAAATATATACATATATATGTATGTATATGTATATAGATTTACCTCCGCAATTTGAGTAAGCTCTATACCACTCAAATTATTTGCTTCCTCAGTTGTGGACCCCAGTTTCTTTCGCCTGTTTAAACGAGTATAGGCTAAGCGAACTCTCCTGAAAATATTTCACAAAATGAAATATATAATCGAATTACACAATTCTTTAGTTTACTGTGTAGTTGTACACTGAAAAGCTCTTATTATGCTGGCAACAGAACCATCCAACTTAATAGGTGGATTGTTGACAAAAACCCCCATATAGGCAATAATTGAGTCCAATTTTCTTCTCATATAAATTGTAGGCCATGACTTTATTAGATATCTAGCAGTTTGCAAATACATTACCGTATTCTCACCTTCATAAGTGCAAGCAGCTGTTGCAAATCCGTAAAGATTAGGAAAATTTGAAGAATTCATATAACCATGACCTCCACAAGCAAGTCTAAGGATTTCTACCCCTTTAGCAGTTTCAGATGAATAGATTGCCTTCATACAACAAGATAACGCATGTAATTCAGGAAGTCGTTTTAAATTTCCAGAATTTAATTCGTCTCTTACTGAACTGAACAAATCATAAATAGAATTGGCAGTAACTTTAAAAATTATAGTTTTGGCTATTTGTGGAAATATTTTTAGTTGCTGTGTTACATGTTCCATAATCTTCGGTTCGGGAGAACTAATTTAATAAAAGAAAAATATTGTTAAAGGTTTTCAATTCAAATGTATGATTTTAATTTTAATGTACTTTGTATTTATGGGACTTTGCCTTCTGACACATGAATATCTAGTGGCTATTGTTACAGCTCTTGCCAAAATATTTGTGCTATCTTGCAAAATTATTACTCGAACAAATTGCATAGTACCATAGGTTAATACAGACGAAGATTTCCTCTCAAACTTGCCACAAGGTAAAACTTGTGCATTTCGCATTAGCATATTCTTTCTTGGTATTCTGACATTCTTAAGACCTAAATATCCATTGTTTGTCGCATTCATATATAATTTACTACCAATTTCTCCAACTTCTATTCCTTTTAATGGCATATGGGTTTCTAAATCTCTGAGTTGAACTATGAAAGGATGTATACCATATTCTTTGCCATTTATATGTAATTGGGCCATTACAATAGCAAAATTAGCTGTATGCCCCACTAAAATAGATGCGTTTAGTTAATATATAAGGTATAAGTATGTATTTAAACGTTTTTAAAACATCTCTTATGTGTGTTTAAATTTATATATATTCATGTGAAATTATAAATTCAATATTTGCAATTTTATATTTTTACTTACATCCTCCTGGCCACCATTTATAGGAAGTTAACTTTGGTGAATTTAAAATAAATTCCTCCGTTTTAGAATCATAATCCGCTATAGTTTCTAATCCTCTAAGAAACGTACCATGACCTAATTCAGTTTGAGCATAAGTACCAACTATTTGAAACTTGATTGCTTTTTCTAACCATTCATTTTGCTGTTCTTCTGTAGCTTGCCCAAAGATCGTTGGTACGAACATACTATAATGTAATCCTAAAGGATTATGATCTGGTAACAAGGAAGATCCAATAAGCGAACCAAACATTGAACGGAAAGTAAAAATTAAATCCCACGTCCTTCAAATAAAATATAAATAGGTGAAATTTAATATTTTTTTTAATCTTTTTTAAGTTTTTCTTACATTTCGGGGTTGTCTTTATTAAAAGAAAGTTGCTGCAATTTTTTTACTATTTTAGTAACTTTTTCAACACTATTTTCATATACATCTTTGTGAGAAAGATATGAAGATGGAATAGTGTTTACCAAATCTGGATCACTGAAAAAATGTGAATCTATAAAGAAAATAAAAAAAAAAATATTTTCCAATCTTTAGATAGCATATTGCATTTAATAAAATAAAGCTATTTTTAAAATAATTTTGTTTATAGCACATAACTCTATAATCAAAATTTAGCTGTGATTGTTTGCAAATTTTTGCAACATCATCTTAATAAGATAAAGGCAATTAAAATTCAAAAGCACGTAGGTACCTACCTCTTAATCGCTTATCATTTAATTTTTCTTTTCCACCATTCCACCATATTGCCATTTCTTCTATGTTGAATGAACATTGTTTTCTTTCAATTTCCAAATCAGGATTTATTTTTAGGTTTTCCATAATTTCTTTTTAACTATTTATTGAATTTTTTTTATTTTTCAAATTTATAAGCAGGTAATTTAAGTTGAATTGGTGAAAATAATATTTTGTGTATTGAGAAGGATCAGTGATTACAAACTGAAATTGTAAACAAGACTAAAATAAAATTTTTTTATGGCTCGAGATACTCGTATTATTAATAAAAGTAAAGATTAATAAAATTAATGATAACAACTTTCTGACACTTTCAAAATAAACAATTTATTTTGGAGGAAAGAAACCTTTCTTGGCAATTTACAAAAAATTTAATTGTTAACTATAGTTTAGCTTATAAAATGATATTATTATCATGTATGCGTATATGATATTATTTTTATTTTTACGAATAAAATAACATTAAAAAGAAATTATTAATAAATATTAATATTAATTTTTTTTTTCAGTCGCCCGATAGGCAACATAATAAACAACAACACTACCTAATTTTTGATAAAAACTGAGAATTGACACTTGACAGTATAATAATTTCAGTCTGCAAAGAAAAAACTCTACCCAGGTTTTAATTAATAAACTCTCAAATTAGAAAACTGTCAAAACGTTTACAAGTTTTTCTATTTCTTTTCTTCTTTCAATAAATAGTTTTATGCTTGCAGGATTAAGTTTTCTATCTTTCTTTAACTACAACAGGTGCACGAGCATCTCTTGAGTTCTTTGAAAATTCTTAAGAATAGTGATTTTAAACGAAAGCAAAATTGTTATTTGTTTATTTTAACTTTTATACGTTTCAGATTTTGGTAAAAATTAAAAAACGGATTATTTTAGTTCTGATAAAACTTCTAATAAAATATAAAAGATTTATATTAGCTTTATGAGCAATATTTGGTATGGCCTAAAAATTATATCGAATTTAATATAGCAGGATTATTGGAAATATATGTAAATGCTAAGATAACTAAAGCATTATAAGCATCCAAGGCACGTCATAAAATTTACGCACGCAAAACATAAAAAGGATTAGTTTTTATTGAAAATGTTTTGGTCAGACACGACCTTTTTTATATCTTTATTACTGGTAATTTTGCCACAAAGTAAATCTAGTGAGGTAAGATTGAAATGAAAACGTAAATATTGATTTTTAATAGAAAATTAAATATGTACATATAAAAAACTAATTAAATATGTACATTCAAAATGATCAAACATTTTAGAATTGTTCCATATGAACAAATTTTTCATGAAAATATATATATGTATATATATGTAATATATATGAACAAATCTTTTAAATAGTGTTAAATTGTATTGTGGCTTCATATCTAAATAAACTTTTTTTCTAGAATTTTGAAAAACTTCAGAACTATTTCCCATATTCAAGTGGAGATGAAATTGCAAGTAAAAGTTTTCAACAAGTAATGCAAGGAAGTAGCAGTTCTGGAATGAGAATTAAAGAACCAAAGTTTAAATCAGATCCAATTGATGTAAAGACTGAATTAGAAAAATTAAACACATGTATGTATAAATATTTATTTTAATTTAAATAACAGTAGTTTTAATATAGAATTTTTAATTAAAATATTTATGTTAATATTTATTTTAATAAAATTCGCAGCACATACTTTTCAACCAGACTGGCCGATTAAGCAAAAAGTTTTAGGTTCAGTTTCTGCAGTAACATTTGATAAGGCGGGTAATGTGATTGTATTCCATCGTGTTGATAGAATATGGAATGAAGCTACTTTTAATATGTCCAATTATTTTATGCAACAAAGTTTGGGAGCAATTTCAGGAAATACTGTGGTAGCATTTCACAAAAAAACTGGAAAAGTATTATATGAATGGGGGAAAAATTTGTAATTGTTTGAATATAATTTTTGGTTTTCATATATGTATGTATGTACTAAACAATTTTATATCGTTCCTTTTAGATTTTATATGCCACATGGTTTAACAATTGATAGCGAAGATAACGTTTGGGTAACAGATGTTGCTTTACATCAAGTAATGAAATTCGGTCCAAAAGGCTCTAACAATAAACCACAATTGATTTTGGGTACTTCCATGAAACCAGGACACGGTAGAAATCAGTTCTGTAAACCAACATCGGTTGCAGTTTTACCGGACGGTGATTTTTTTGTGGCTGACGGATATTGTAATGCACGAATTATTAAATTTTCCAAATCTGGCGAACCTATTCTCACTTGGGGTCACCATACTTTTGCAGGTTGTATTTTCATGTAGATTCTCAATGTATGTTTTAATTTTGGAAATTGTTTTAGGACAAGCGTATGAAAATGCACCAGTAAATTTTTTTGCAATACCTCATGCATTAACTTTAGCTCCAGATTTAGGGCTCATTTGTGTAGCAGATAGAGAAAATGGTCGAGTTCAGTGTTTCAATACTAATAATTGTTCAATACATTCTCAATATCACAGCGAAATAATAGGAGATCGTTTATTTAGTGTTGCTTATGCCCCTGTTGCAGGTAAAAAATTTTACGATATCAAATAATGCCGTTTTATAATGTGATACGGTACTTTTATTTTCAGGTGGACAGCTTTATGTAGTAAACGGTCCCAACGGTATCTCTGGAAGTCAAGTAAATGGATTTATTATAGATATGAAAACTACAAACGTTATTGAAAAATTTGTGCCACAAAACATTGACTTTAGAAATCCACATGATATTGCTGTTACTGCTGATGGTTCGGATATATATATAGCAGAGTTGGATCCGAAACGTGTTTTAAAATTTTCAAGTAAAAAACTAATTAAAACTACAACTACTATGTCATCTGCGAAACCAACGGCAACAATAATAACAGACCCAAATCTAAATGAAGTTAATAAATTCCGGAACATAACCGTTGAGAGTGCAGAATCAATTACTAATAGCATATTATCGACGCGAGCTCAACCCGGTTCTACAGCATTATTTTTGATCGTCTTAGTTTTGATGTTTGGCCTAACCACGTTTGGTATTATAGTGCTTATATCAAAACGACAAAAGCGAGGTATACTGACAATAGGTTCAAACCCATCTAGTGACTTAGAATATAGCAAATTGGTGTCTAGAAGTAATATTTCTGATGAATGTTAAAACCCACGCACATACTATTTTGATATGCAATTTATAGTTTTTAAGTTTTGAACGCAATCAATTAATTTTAAATTTATATTTTTAATATTTAATTTTAGTTAATGATCTTGTATGATTATATGCTTCGTTTAATCTCAATAATATTTTTTGATATTGTGATTTTTATTGTACTTATTTTAATTTTTGCAATCATTATGCATATTATTTTATTTTTTTAATTTAGATAAGAATATTTTACTATTATTTTTACTATTATTTTATAAGTAAGTTAAGAAATTGAATATTTTTTTAATTATTTTATAAAGCATAAAATATTAATTTGTAGTTACCTATATTAAATTTAGTTCTTTATCACTAAATTGTTTGTATTTTTATTTTTTTTTATTTTTACTGTTTGCAAGGGAATGCTTCTAAAAATATATATAATAGAGAAGAAAAGTTTTCTATTTGACAAGTGTAAAATTTCAGAAGAATTAGAAAATCTTTAATTCTGAAATTCTTAATAAAATTTTGAATTGAAAATGCATTATTTAAAAACGAAATTGATTGTCTACTGATAAATTTAACATGGCTTATATTTAATAATCAAGAATTTTAGAAGACTTGATTTAAATGCTTTAATTAATGCCAATTCTTGTTAATGTCTAATATGCTTACATAGATATATTAGGCATTAGTTCTAAAATTGTCTTACTAAATTTTTTAATTTAAAGAGTTTTGTAGCTTTTTTATAATTTTTTTTTCTTATTGTAAATAGTTTCATTTTAAATTTGCCAAGAATACTATTACTTACGTTAGTGTGTCTTTGGAAAAAAAAAATTTTTTATACAAAAAGCTGACTTAATTTAAAAAAATTAAAACTGAGATTAAATGCAAATTAAAGATTTTTTTTTCTAAGGTTGCAGTTTATTTGGAAAACGTAATCGTAGACATGCATGGGATTTTCCAGCAGGTTTTACTTTTTGAAGCCTATTAAAAGTCTTCTGTTTTAAAAACTTTTATATTATTGTAGGAGAAAAACCTTTCAAACTTGGGAATTTGATTAACAATGATCGTAACAAGCGTGGTTTTGAAAAACTAAATCAAAATGCCAGTGATGAAGAAATTGATGCTTCCACGAATATGTTAACAAGCGCACAATTCGCTTAAATGTAATAATTAGGTATTGGGATGTAACAAAATTATAAATGGAAAAAATCGTAATCAATGGTAAATATTGATACGAAGCGAAACTCAATATGACAATGTCATGCAAAACAGCATTTTAAACAAGTATAAAAATTAAAATATGAAACACAAAATTGAAAATACATCTTTGGAAGACACAGGTTCAACTTATGTGATATAATTAATCAAATTGCTGTAGTATGAATTTCAAACTATACTTCTATAAATATAAAAGAAACTTGTAAATAAGCATGGTAAGTTATGCAAAGCTTAAATAAACCATCTATCTTTTATAAAAAAAAACATCCTAATTGAAATTGTTTTTCGAAATCAAAGTAAATGCGATTTTTAAAGTATATGCGTTATACTGGTATTATTATGTATCAGTATAATGTCAATCAGTATACGTGTGTATAAATATAATTAATATTAATAATTTTAAAAATGGTGTTTCATATTTTAATACTGAAAATATAATGGAGTGAATAAAATTTCCTATTTGTAAAATAAATTTAATTAAATATTGCCAACAATTTTACTTTTGTAAATACTATAGATAAACATATATACATAATTATAAGAAAAATATTTTAAAATATACTATAACAATTATTTCTATTTTGTTATATAATTAATTTTAAGTTTTATTTTAAAATAATCAAAATTAAATTTCATATCTTCCTTTTTTTGTATTCTTCCCTAAAATAAAAACTAAAATATAAAAAACATAAGTACATCTAATGTTTTGTTTTCTTAATTAATTTTTGTCGCAAATGTAATATGATTTCTTGGGGATATTCGAGGATTGAAAATCGGTTCAATGTTTACTTCACAACCTTGAAAAAAGTAAAATAAAGATATACAAATATATATAAATATATATATATATATATAGGGTTGTAGTATATATATTTATATATATAAATAAATATATGTAAATAAATGAAATAAATAAAATACAATATGTACCATTTTCAATTAAGTGCAGAACCCTATCATATAATATTATACTTTCTAAAAGTGGTGCGAAAAGCAACCTAAGTGTGTAAAAGATAACAACGTTTTTCCATTGGCTCAAATTTTCATTTACTTCATCTATATCAATATATTTGTTTATATCAATTCCTGTATTTTTTGTTGCAATTTCGCAGTATGTAAGGAAATCCAAATCAGTAGTATGTTTAACATTTCTTAATGCTATATGCTTTTTATTAGGATAAATTCGTGTTATTATTTGTTCTATTATGGCTCTGTATGTATGAACTTTTAGTTCATTATAACTTCCACTTCTTAAACGATCCACGTACATTTCTATAGCATGACAAGCAATTTCTCTAGATTCATATGACAGAGTAGAGAGGTTAGCTATTTCATATTTTAAGAATGAGCTAAGTGGATATCCAACATTTTCACTGCTCCTGCTTTGAGTTAATTTCATGTAACAACAACCAATCAAATTTAAAAATTTTGCTGCTTTACATTTCAAAAACATATTAATCAAAACTGCAGCTAAGTCACCACAAGGGTGTAATCCAACAATTCCAAATTTAAAGCTTTCCGTTTCAGTAATCCTAAACGCATTAAGAATTTCTTCTTTAAATATTTCAGGTGTAACAGAGTTCGTTAATGTCATTGTTATGTGCTTCGGAGTATCGACTTTTTTCAAATCAGAATTGTTATGCAAGAACTCTTCAAAATTTTTGTCTAAAATTCTTAAAACAAAATAACATAAATTAATGTTTCTATTAATTTGTTAAAAATACCTAGCATTTTCGTTTAAAGTGGACTGCATTTCTATGCAGCATACACGTAAATTAAATCTGTAATATAAAATTCTAGCAAAATGGCCAAGTCCGGCCCCAAAATCAACTACGAATTCCGCGCCAGTTTTGTTAGCTGTATATTTTGTTATTTCAGACATATAAATTATCTCATGCCGTTTTTTTAATTTCACATTTTTTTCAAATTTGTTCTTTATATTTTTTTGGGAAAAAATTTCTTGTCTCTCTTTTTGTAAACTCTAGAAAGATTTAGAATTTATTCATGCTTTTCAATTTCAAATTTAAAATACCTACCTCTTTTGGGGGTTTTCTATTAAGTGCAAGTTTTTGAAAAATTACTTTCAACGACAAAATGGAAAGTGGCCACACTACGGTGAATTTAACGTTTTCTTCCAATAACTCACATAATTTTTCAGGTTCTACTTTTTCAATACTTTTCCAAGAGTTGGGAAGTTTTTCCCAATGTCTATCTACAAAAAAATCCTACAATTTATAATAATAATTATATTATTTTCTAAATTAAATAAGGAAATTTACCAAAACATAAGAGTTGATAAGCCATTCGTATTTTCTTACAATCTCCAAAGAAGAAGTTAAGATTGATTTAATATAATCTTCTTTGATTATCATTATAATACCTTTCTATTATTTTAACTTATTTTATTCACCTTATATTATTGAAATATAAGTTTAAGTTATTAAGCAGCATTTATTAAAATGAGGAGCCTTTATGTATATAAATAAAGCAATATAACTCAAGATATTGTAAAAGAACACATGATTCTGACAGCCGGTATAAACATAAGGAAAATTTTTTTTTTGGCAGTTATTTTGTGTAATTGAAAATTATATTGTGTTACCCAGCATTTACACATACAAGTTACTTGCAAGCAAGTTTGTATAATATTAATTGTCAATTAGTTTTCCCAAATGTCAAATTACTTGCTATAATGACGTAGGCGTTTAGCAAGTTAATTTATGAAAATGTCTTTGAGAAGAAAACAACTAGCAATATATATAATTGTTTATAAATTTTAGAAACCATAAGTTTGCTAAGTTTAATTTTTTCAAAACAAAATTCAAAAATTTTAAATTAAAAAAAAAAAAAAAAACAAAACAACAAATTTTTTTTTGTGAATTTCTCAATATGTCAAATTACTTGCTCAAATTACTGGCAGCAAAATTTTCTTGCAAGTTGAACTGCAAGTGAACAAGCAAGTAGAAATATTTCAATGTGTTAGTAAAATTTTTGTATGTATTGCAACTTTCTTGCAAGTAACTTGTACGTGTAAATGCTGGGTTATGTAGGAAAGGAGCACTAATAAACTTTTACGCTACACTAGTTCGGCTTTTCTCTCATTTCGAATTTTTCAAAACTTTTATATATATTTTTCGTAACAATTCTCAAAATCAAAATTTAAAACTTTTATTTAACATTAAAAAAAATAATAAAATTTTTTGTACAAATTCTAAAAATTTTAAATTAAAACCCTTTTGTTTTTTGCTTTATTTTGAAAATATTTTTGGAATTCGTTTGAAAAACCGTTTGACATATTAAACTAAAAATATAATCAGCAAACTAAAATATATGTACTTCAAACTTTGAGAATATTGTAACAAAACATTTATAGCTTTAAACTGAAAACTGTAAATTGAGAAAGTCTTTTAATTTTTTACTGAAAAAATAAACAGAGTGACCCTTTCAAAAATCTTTTTAAAAATGAATTGAACAAAAGTTTACGAGTTTAGCGTAACTTAGCATTACGAAGAAGTAAATAACCATTTATTGATATTACACCAACTTGTTTGCCAATAACTTAAAATTTGTTATATTTAATTTATACTTTTTATAAATTCGTAAAAAATACTAATTTCCACCAAGTTCAGCCGGACGTGTAAACAATCAACCAATTTCTTGGTAAAATAAATGTTTGTAAACTCTACCTTAAATATAATGACACATGACAAATATTAGAATACTAAGTTTCCGAATATGCATATATATATATATATATATGTGATATCTTGACATTAGAAAAAAGCAATCAGTATATCTGTCAGTCGTGATGTATATTTAGATATTAAAATTCATATAAATAACATAATACGTAATGTCATTTTGAGTTTTATATTTTTTATTAAATTGAAGTATATCACATAATTATTTAATTTTCATAATCTAAAAGGTTTGTTTTATTGAAAAAACAAAATTTAAATGAATTGTAGTGATCCCAAATATATTGAAAAATGTCAATATTGGAACGCGGTGACAAATACATGCTTTCCTTTTAAACGATTCTTAAGATCATCAGAATTGAGCGAATCTTTAAATAATTTACCATCCGAAGCAAAAGTTGAAATTCCATCAAAATTATCGGGAAGCGAAATAAAAGAATTTTATGAAAATGTAGTCAAAAACCCCGTTTCAAACAAAAATTCTAAAGATAGACTATTAAAAGAAGAAGCTTCCCATGAAGTTGGTGAAAAAAATGGAAGTGTTGCTAAAATAGAATTTGATAAAACAAGATTTTTTCGTGCAGCAACATACAATGACTTAAAAACTTTGCGGTCCTTTATTTATAAGGATGATTCAATAAATAGCACAGATCAATATGGGTGGTCGGCTTTAATGATGGCATCTTGTGAAAACTCGATTGACGCTGTTAAGTTTTTATTATTTCAAGGAGCAAACAAATACATTTGCGATGGGAAGGGTAATACAGCCCTTGATTTGTCAAAACGAAAAGGTTATAGCACTATTGTAAATTTACTAACCACTTATAAAAATAAAGACAATAATCAATTAAAAAAAGAGCTAAAAAATAGCAAATACAGTAAAACATTTAAATATTTTTGCTCAATTTGCAATGAAAATTTTAATGTAAGAAGCAAGAAAGAGCACGAAACATCAACAATTCATTTATTTAATACTAAAAATGATAAAAAGAGTTTTTTAAGGTATTCCACAATACCTAATAATAATAGGGGTTTAAAAATGATGGTTAAACAAGGATGGGATCGAGAAAGTGGTCTCGGGCCAAAGCGAAATGGAAATTTGTTTCCAATTAAAACCGTTATACGAAAACCTAGATCGGGTCTCGGAATTGAACAAGATTCTGCAAAAATTACACATTTTAAACCATATGATTTGAATGCAATTAAGTATAAACCAATGTTAAAATCAAAATCACGAAATGATATAAAAAGAGAACGGAAAAGAAATAAAAAAATGGAACGAAGATTAAGGAATGAACTTTCCTGAGGAGTTGCAGTTCAAAATTTATATATCAAAATCATACTGAAATAATCAAATTTCCATTATTTCCTTAATATTGGTTAATTCTTTTTAATTTCAGAGTTTTTCTGTGATAAGTTAATATTTACATCTTAATCGACAAAAATTTGAAGTACAAAATGAGCAAAACAAATAACGAAAAAATTATTGAGATTTTAATTGAAACAGAAAAAGTTGCTGATAAAATAATGGTTATCAAACAAGAAATAATATCATTAGATAAACGAAGGCAAGAAAATAGGGAAGCAATTCGAGAAATAGGAAAATCAGAAAATGATAAAAAAGTTTGGATAACAGTTGGCTCATTGTTAATAAAAATGGAAAAATTAAAAGCCTTAGAATTACTAAAAAAAGGTCCAATAAAATATTTTTTATCTATAAAAACAATAAAAAACATTTTTTTTATTATTTTTAGATCAAAATGAAATTGAAATAGAAATCAATAAATTAAGATCTGAACAAAAAATCTTAGTCAATCAGCATAGAGATTTAGAGCATTCGTCGCCATTTAGTGGTTCAAATTTAAAACCTCTGAGCGCTAAAGAAATCTCAGCGTTAAAAACAAATTTACCTTTATTGTCTTAATAATGTTACTCTGATATTTGTTACATTATTTGGAAATTAAAGCAAGCCAACATTATCAAGTAAACGTATTATTGAGAAAACTAAAACAAACATTGGTTTTATTTAATCCATAAAACAATTACTAATTTAAAAAAATTGAATTCAATTTTTTTAAAATAATGCGTTTCACTACGTTTAAAATTTTTTGTATCAATCTAAGACCAAAGAATTTCCTTTGGAAATTTCATAAACCTCTTGCTGAAAAAAAGTACATATTATTTGAACTATTCAAAAGTGCCTACTTATGCTCGCTCAATTTAGGTATTTGTTACTTATTGGAAAAAAATCTGATGTTTAGTTGAAGTCTAACTCAGATAAAACCTCAGATAAACGATTAATATCAGATTTTTAAAAATAACATGACGGAAAATAAATTTTTAAAAAAGTTTTGGCACGATCAGCTGATTTTTGTTTTAATTTTTGTGGCTGTCTATAGATTAAAAGTATTGTCGTCAAAAGTTTGACGTTAAATTATAAATTAAATTTGATGTGCAAATGCTCATCAGATTTTATCGTAGATTAGATTAGCTTACATAAAATATATTGCATACAAAACAATTAAATAAATATAAGAAAACAATTGCATAAAAAATTGGCTATATACTGTAAACACTATTTTTTATAACCAATGGGAAAAATTTGTAAAATTCGATGTCAAAAAAGTAACAAATTTACTACATTTTTTATACATGAATCAGCACTGTTAAGAAATATTATTTAAAAAATGGAGCAGAAAGAGAAAAGTATAAAACTTTATTTCAATTCTTTTTGTTACTGTTCTTTGAGGACAGTTCATGTTAAATTGAATCAAGGGTTTTTGTCAATTTGGAATATTTAGTTGTCAATGTCAAATCAAACTGCGAGGGAAGTAACAGTAATTATTAGCTATTTTGTTATTAATTAAAGTAACTAAAATATTTAATTCTAAAATTGAATTTACGCAAAGGCAAATGCTTTAATCTTGCTTTAAGCTTTTTGACAGTTGTTGATAAAAACAGAACATATTCATTAACTTTACTAAAATAAACACGTACTGGATATGGACCCAAAAGGTAAATAACAAAGTATACCTAGTTAAGTGTTTTTGATTCAAGCAGCTACATATTTAATAACGAAAAGGAGGATCACATTAAATGATTCATAAATCATCAGTTTCTTATCAGTTTGCTACATAAAGAAAACGATATTGTAAACGAGCTTGAGTAATTTTTCCGATTTAATTATTGAAACTTGATAATTAAAAATATTTTCAAGAACCCAAATTTACAATTCAGTGAATACTAGTTCAATTTGTTAAACGAATTATCGAAGAATAATTTTTGTAGATACAAATGTAATTATAAGAATTGGAAAACGGGATTGTTTATAAACAAATATGGTACAAAGTAGGTAACAAATACCTACTCGCATAAAAGTTGGAATGTCCCATATAACACTTACCCAAATGAAAGTTGAAATCTAAAGACTAAAATTAGAAAAATTTTGTAAAAATCCAAAAATGAATTGTGCTGAATATTTTAAGTACAGTATTTAATATCGGAAGATTTTTATTCCTTTTAAGTTGTGAAACATTATGTGGTAAATAACTACTTAATATTTTATTATTCGTTGTTACTTAATATTTTAAGTACATACCTATATTTTTCATAAAATTAAGATTACTTATTGTTTGACATAAAATTACTAAATTTTTTTGTACATAATATGTAGATAGGTACTTAAATATTGTTAATTTTATTTTAGATGAATTGCAAAACCATTCAGAACCTAAAAGTCATGGAAAAAAATGGAGTTTTTCCAAAGAAGACATGGATTATGCTTTGGAGCATCTTAGATCTGGTAAAAGTATACGTCAAACATCCCGTATCACAAACGTGCCTTATGCTACTGTACGAAGGTATTGGCTAAAGCAAAAGGGATATGAAATATCTCGCAGAAATTTACAATCACAAACATCGGCTTCGTCAAGTTCAACTTCAAACATCAAAAGTATTTTAAAAAAAAACAATGACTCTTCACCAAATAAAGTGAAATCGGATAATGAAGAATATAAAACATTTACTGAAGAACAAGAAATGGAATTGGCTTCTTTATTTAATGGAAAAAATGGTACGGATTGTCGTAAAATTGCATATGAAATGGCAGTACAATGGAATGTTTCATTGCATAAGATCTGGAGTAACGAAGAAATGGCTAATATTGAATGGATCGCAAATTTTCGTAAACGACTGCCAGATTTATTAGAAAAACAATATAAAAATAATCAAATTTATCATAAGTTATCAAAAGAAAATCTTTCAACACATGATAATGATAATAGTTTACCAAAGACGACGGATACGTTGAATTCATGTCAATTTACTATGTCTACAAATTCAGTCAGAAGGAATTCTGGATCTAGTGATGAATTAGACTCATTCGGAAGTAATTAAGTATTTATTAATTACATTTTGTAAATAGATCAGCATTTTTATTATTTCATTTATACAATTTCATTTAAAAACTGAACTTTTTATTACACCATTGTTTCTGCAAATTTCTGTTATTCTTTTATTAATTAATTGTATTTCTTTGAAACTCGATTGAATGAATAGAAATCTAAAAATTATATGCTTAACTATATATTTCGTAGAGGGCTACTTTTTAAACATTTTAACTTTTATGTAATATTCTTTATTTCGAACAGAATTAAGGTGTAAGTAATTAAGCTTAATAATTAAATTAGAAAAAAATTCTATCCTTAAAACCAACAACGTATTATTATAACACTACCACAGAACTAAATTAACTTTATAATAAATTTATTGTTTCATTAAAATAAATTAATTCTTTAATAAATTTTATATTTTAGATGAATCTTCCAGTTCAAATCATGAATTAGACGTAAAAATTGAACCGAATGAATACCAGTTTAATAGAAAGCAGAGTAGCACAACTGCTTGGGGGAAAAAAATATCAAGTAACTCATCTCTAAATAAAAGAGAAAAAAGTAATGTGAACTTTTTTAATGCGAATAATTCAGAAGATATAAAATTGTTTTCATCGGACCGGAATAATGAAAATAATTCAAATATAGCTATAAATGAAAAGAATAATTCTACGCTTACAGAACATGATCTTTTATTTTCCGGCAGAGATAATCAGAGTCATTTTGTTAATTCCAATTTGCAGCAAACATATCAACCGCAAGAAAGTTTTGAAGAAATTGGTACTTCATTTTTACGTTTTAACAATACAAACAATCATTTAAATCAAGAAGATCGAACCAATGAACCTGGTGACAGTAACATCTCAGAAAGACCAAAACAGACCGATGTCCATATGGATCAAAATTTTTCGAATTTTCTTAGCAATTCAAAGGGGGTTTCTAAACAAAATATGGATGCTGATGAATTATTTTTATTATCACTTTTGCCTGCACTTAAAAAAATTCCTGAAAAAGATAAAATAAAAGCTAGAATCAAGTTGCTGGAAGTTATGGATCAGTTTTAAAATTTGAATATTGTTTTATAATAATTATATTATTAATAGAATATAAAATAAATATCTCCTGATATATGTACTGGCATTTTCCGTTTTATGGGAAAATTAATTTCATTAAGATTTTAAAAATATATTTTTGTCTGATATACATTTTTATGTATTATAGGATCCAAAATAAAGTTTTTGTAAATTTTAATTTTTGATTCATGTTTATTTATTATAGAGACTAGTTATGCGTTGCATTATATGTAAATAATTTATTATGTACACATATATTAAAGCAGAATAGGGTTATAAGACTTTATTAAGTTCAACTTGGAGTACAATTGTACAAACCGTAAGTGACATGATATGGCCACTGTTTTTTTCATCATTCTTTTCAATTTAAATGATGTCCAGAAAGTGTAAATTTATTTACTAAAGGAATTTAGAAGATGTATTTTGAAAGTTTGAGAATATATTTTTTAAATTTACACACAACACTTGACTATATGAAAGCTCTAATTACCATGAAAACTTTGGAATTCATCTAAAAGTAAGTTATTTTATTATTGTGATACTTATTTATTTTAATATGCAAAAGTACTGTAACATAAACATCACATTTATTCATTTTTGTGCGTGTATGAGTTATTAGGTTGATTTAAAGTAGGTGTCTAAATAATGAAAAATACTAGTTATATTATAGTATTTTATACTTAATATAGTATGTTTTTTTAAAAACAAAAAAAAGGCATAGTTTGTATAAAAAATACATACTTATTTCTCTCCCAGAAGTTTAGCTTTTTTTTTGTTTTGTATGCACCTGAAATTAGAAATAAAAAATTGCAAGAGACTCACGAGATTCAAAACATAAGTACATAGGAATGTAACATTTATAATTTTTCTCAATATAAACATACAACTAAAATTAGTTGTATGAAAAACCATTGATTGTGTAAGTAAAAGACTATACAAGCACAAAAACAACAAAATCGTTTAAAAAGCGCAATATTAAGGAGAAAAAACAACTTTTTTTTTCTATGTAAAATAATTTAATGTTATATTTTTTATTTATAGGTATACATACATTACATACTTAAAAATTTATATATAAGAGCTCTTATATATAACAGAATATAAAAATCTCCAATGTGACTGTATTAATAACAATAAGAAAGAAAAAAACGGAATAAAAGTATAAAGATTTGATTTCATGCGAAAAAAAAGAGTGACGTGAAGGCCATTAAAATGTAAGTTGAGCTAAAGTTGAGCCTCCCTCAACGCGATTTCTTTTCTTTCTTGCAAATAAAAAGGGAAATTAAAGAATTTTACATTTTATATTTTAATTGAAATATGGAAAAAATAACAAATACAAAAACTAAATTATAAAATATTAAACGTGTTATTCAAATAAAATAAAAATACATAAATATTATTGAAATTTCTTTTAAACAAGTACCTAAATGTTCCAGTTTTAAATTGTAGTTATACACGTATATATGTATGTTTGTACATGATATACGTATTATATTTATACATAGTATGTTCATATGTGTTTATATTATCAAGTGTTTATGTTTGTCATTTATTTAAAAACAAGAATATTATAATATATTTTGAAAAAATCAATATATTTGTGCATAAAATAAGTTTATATGAACAAAATTATTATATAAATAATATTATGTATATACATAGTATACATTTACTAACAGTAAGAATATATATGTATGTTTGTAAGTAATATGTATTGTGATTTGGTGAACCTAACCTAGTACAATATAAATTTAAAAAACATTAAATCGAAAATATTTCTGTTTATCAGCGTTATGTTTATACGTAAATATATGTGTGCGTGTATTAAATAAAAAATCACATTTTGATAACAAATTCAATTTCACCAGATAAGGAAAACAAGAAGGTAGTAAAAAATAAAAGAAAAAAAGTTCTGGTATTAAAATTTTTTTATAAAATTATTAAAAATCCAAAAGTAAAATAAAGTATGCAATATTGAAATTCTGTTGTTATTTTTATATGTATATGTACATTAGTACATATTCTGTAATAATGTATATAATAAATGTATGATTGTATATGAGGATGCATGTTCATATTTTTAAAATAAAATTTTATTAAATATGTAATTTTAAAATCAGTAATTAATCAAATATAATATTTAAATAATTTATTCTTTATAATTTTTTTGATAATTACTATAAGTTCAATAAGACCTACATGTAAGAGTCACTATGTTTATATGCAAACAAGCATATAAACATAATATGCATAACGTTTATAAAATTTGTTGTAACTGTGGAAATTAGCCAAAACCCGATATCAGGAAATTTTGTAAATCACGATAAGGTAAATATCGGGTTTTGAAACTTCGTAACGTTGATTAGTTAGAATTATCGGGTTATGGTTTCAAAAACTTTTTAATATTTTTATTTCTTAATTTGCTAATGGAGTGCTGGAAAAGCAAAGATTAGCTCTTAACCATTTCTTTTTTTATCACTAACTCAAGTTGGCCAAAAAATGTTATATTGGATTTTGGCAAATTTTTACAATAAATAATAATTGTAGTGTTTTTTATATTAAATAATATAATATTAAAATAAATATTACACACGGCCCACAATGGCATACCTAAAATAAAATTTAATGATTTGAATCAAAATTTTGATATAACAGATATTTCTGAATTGAACTATGGATGTACGTCATTTGACATATAGAAATTTCATTCCTGCTCTTAACTATTCTTTGATATACTTAGTTGTAGTTTCTAATAGGAAATTTATTTTCATTAAAACTGCTGTATAAAACTGTACTCAGTTGTTTAAAAACTAAAAAATTAACATAACCAACCGCTCCAACCATGCTCTCTACAGTTTTTTTGAGACATACAGTTTTTTTTTTTAATTACGAACTACCAAAATTTGTTTTGTCCTTCTAAATTTAATGTCAAAAGTGAAATTATTTTGGAAAAAAGGGATAAAAATATATTAGAGCTTTGACGAATTGTTGTGTTTTGTAGAAATTTGTAAGTAAATTATGTTTATTATTTTTGCTGGTTCTTCTTCATGTTCTTTATAATAGTACTTTTTTACTCTTCACAACTCAACATTTTCGTTTATGTATATCATATGAATTTGTGCAGTCTGTTCCTGCCTACGCTTAAAAATAATGCTTGCCTGCTTTGATGTGTAGTATGTATTAATAAAAAGTGTCGGTTACATATTGTAAAGTGTCAGAACAGAAATTAGAAAATAAATTTTTAAAATTTAAGTATTTGACTATTTTTATTAAGTATTTTTAAATTTATAATTGCATAATAATTTAAAAACATATAAAATTTATATTAACATTAAAGAGAGTTGAAATTTTCGTTTTATTAATGAAGTGTGAGTTTTGTAATAAGTAATTACCTGTATTCTGTTAGTCGTATTAGTTGAGGTTATGGGATTTTATTGGAATAATTTTGTTCCTCAGTATACATACTATAGAATTTCGAATAACAACTAATCGCGTCAAGTGATGTGAGTAACAGAATATGGGTGAATGTTACATAAACGTTGAGAACATACTTATTTGGTGTTTTTTACCGAAATATGCCGAATGTAAAAAACATTTTTTCAATGAAAGCTACAGGATTTGCTTGCTTGAACCCAAAATGTATAAGATGTTCATATTTGTATAAAACTTAGGACATACATGATTATAACAGAACTGCCACTTGTATACATACGTATATAAATTTGAATTAAACAACAGAAGAAGTTAATCTGCAACTCTTTTATATAGAGTGTTCGATTTTTAAATCCTCTGTTATAAACTCTATTGCGAAGAGTCTTTTCAACGATATCAATAGGTTTAAAGATAGGAACTATTTACTTAGACCTTAAATTATAATAAATTTCAACTTTTTTCTAATTTTTTCATGTTTCAAACATCTAAATTCGTGCGTATGGTAATATTTCATGCTAAATAAGATTTTAAAAGCTAAAGAGTAAAGAATTTTTCTCCTAAATATATGTATATACAATTATAGTTATGATTTTTTCAATTCCCGAAACTACATGATTTAAATCGAGTATCCGGAATACAATATTATATTTGTATCAAAATATTTTATGTTTAGTTTTTTTTTTTGAACAAAGTAAACCATTTTAAAAATTCAAATTTTTTTTAATTTTATGTCAGATTACAAAAAAATTTTTTTAAATTAGTAATATTTTAATTTTTGAATAATGACTATTGAAAAAATATTTAAAATTAAATTATTTTTTTTTTCTGAATTTCGATTAAGAATAATAGTCGTTAAACTGTCGCTACTAAACTGTCGGTATAATATTATGTAATTAGATAATAAAAAAACGTTATATATGTACACATGTATATGCATGTGGCAATTCATTTCGGATAATGTTTAATCTTCAAAATCTTAAAAAAAAAAATCAATTTTCATTTTAGACCAGCAATTAAATTTAATGAAATTTTTACACGTGTTTTATATACTGTGTTTTAGAATTAGTGTAGTGTTAAATTATTTTCGCAGTTTTTCGTGTTATTCCAGTCGAATCGTTTTTATATATGTATGTACATACATACATATTGTACATTATGGAGAATTAATGTAAAAGTAAGAGCAAGAAAATTAAAATTATGTAAGTTTTCGAAAATGGCAGTTTTCGAAGTTTGGGTTCGATTTTTTAAAAGTCAATGTAAAATTTGAGAACTGATGTAATTAAGGCTAATTAGTTGGAGGTGTAAAATTCTTATACATAATATTACAGTTTGAATTCAAATATTATTTGAGTAATATACATATATTATAATATTTTTATAATTCTAATTTCAGGAAATAAGTAATTAAAAAATATGAAATATGCATACTTGTTCCAAAAATTTTAAAAATTTAATTTATTTTAAAAATGTAATATAAATACTTAATATATAAAAACATGATCGTATATACAATAGTGTTTTAAAAATTTGTGTATATGTATATAACATTTGTGATTATTCCACCTTATACGAATAATAAAATCATACACATATACCTATTATGTTAAAATTATTAAATTTATTATTAAAAAAGGATTTTAAAATATTATGAATCATAATGGTAAATATATATTTATATATATTATATTTACATTATGTATATTTCTTTAAATAAACTTTAAAATATTTATTAACAAACAAAAAGAAAAATGCAGTGAATTCAAAGATCACAAATATAATTACATATAGATAGATACGTCCGTACAATATACGTACATAATTATTAATAATTTTGGATGAATAAGTAAAAAATTATTACTTATTATACCCAGTGCACGCAAAAATACAATCTACATACATATGTATGTATGTATGTGCTATAATACACAATATGTGCATAATATAAGTACAATATTCTCACATATAACTAGTTAAATTGTGTACATATTTATTAAGAATTTATTGTTATTCAGAAGCACGTTAAATTTAAAAAAAAAAAAACAAAAAAAAAAAATTGTTAAATTATAAAAGTAATAAATCAAAGTAGTTAAAAAATAACAATAATAAAAACAAAAAAAATTGTACGTATCTGTAGAGTAAAAAAATTAAATAATGTTTGAGAAAAATAAAAAATAAAAAAGAAATATATAAGTATATATAAAAAGTGTTATCAAGATAATTGTTGACTATATTTTATATATTTTGTATATATATACATACAAATGTACCTTAACATACATATGTAAGTATGTATATAGAAACCCTTAAATATATTTTCAAGTGAATATTAAGAATCTCAGTACACATTAAGTATAGTTGAATGTTATATATGAAAAAAAAAATATTAAAAAATTAAAAAATAAAAAAATACAACAACAACAATAAAAATAAAATTAATTTACATAAAAAAAAATTAAAAGAAACAGAACAAAAAAAAAATTATTTTCGCTAGTCAAAGAAAAGTCTCATCAATAATATTTTTTTGTTTTTTTTTTTTCATTTGTGATGCGGTTATAAAGGATATGCAAATTAAAAACAGGTAAATTTCCCTATAGCATTTTTAATTACATTTTATATTATATCCGTTCATAATTTTTATAATATTTTATAATATATAGGTATGTATATATATACGTACAATATGTACATAATGGGGTTTACTAAAGAAGTCACATTAAATTTGTACTCATATGCACTTATATGCATAGGTACTCATTATATATAATAGTTATAAATTCAATATCACATTTTTGATAATTGAAGATTAAAGTACTTAAATGTATAAATTATTAATTTTAAGTGTAGTAAATTCCTCAAAATGGATTAAATTGTTACTTACTTAAGTAATATTGTTATTTTGTAGGCATAAGTTCAAAAATTAATTAAAATTATTCTGGAAAATTAGTAATAATTTTGAAATGTGACGTGCATTAGTGGGTTTATAATTTTTTTAAAAAATAAATATATAAGAATACTTACTTAGAATAGGTTTTTTATGAATGTATTGAAACTACGGAGAATTTTAAAACTCAACTCAACTTAAATATTGGGTCTGAGGTTCAATTAATTTATAAGTAAGAGAATTGTTTATCGTAAATAACTTTTATAATGATTACTTAAAAATTTGAGTGCAGAATGAAGAATTTTCTAAAATCTCTCAAAACTTCACTTAAGTATAAGTATTTATTTCGCATTTCGAAAAATGATGTTAATTTTAAAATACTTTTGATCAAACCTTTAATTGTCGCAGTACAAATTCTATGTGTAAAATTTGTGCCCATATTTTTATAAATTAGGCATTATTAACCTGAAAATATTAAAATAGTGGTAAAAAATTACTAAATTTTACACTAAAGAATTAAGTATATCTTAATAATGGCATTCCCTATACTTACCAATTCTTAATATGAACTTAATTATGTGCAAGAACCCTATATCATAATATAATAACATTAAAGTGAATTTCTTTTTAGAATTTTAACAAAAATAATGCAATTTTTGTACATACATATGTAAAGCAGTAAAATATGAAATAAATTTAAAATTATGATTTCAAGTGAAAATTAATTAAATTCATTTTGTAATCGTTTAATTGTAAAAAAGAAAAATGATTAATTGAATGAATTATATGCATGTGTAAATTCCATTCCTTTAATATATAATATTTATGTATATATATGCATGTATAAATGTATGTAAATAGTATATATCGTTTTACGGAGCATGGGTTACTTATCTATGATCCCTCGAGTTTTGATCCAAAATATAAATGACAAGTTGACAGGTTTTTATTTTTTTCAGAATTGCATATTAATATAAAATATAATAATTTTGTCATATTATACACTACACAAAGTAAAATCTGTTTTGCATAGCAGTGCGTAGATTGAATCTACTTAAACGTATATCAGCATATACATATAAAGGTATATATGTATATATTATAATGTGTATATATGTATATATTATAATATATATATATAAATACTATTAATATACGTGTTTAAATACGTTTAAAAGATAATTTGTAATTAAGGTTGTATACGCATATATTTACAAAATGTGCGTATTCATAATTTAATATAAAAACAGGAGCGGCTTTAAGAATTTTTTTGTTTGTCGAGTTATAATTTTGGTTTACAATAAAAGTAATGATTTTAAATTAAAAAAGTTGTTAAATTTTTTAAATTATTGTAAATATTTTATTAAAATTTATGACTTCTTAAGTAAATCGTCTGAAGACAAACGCGTTTTTACTGAACAATTTTTAACATTTTTGTGCATTTACATAGTATGTACTTACTTTTAATTAAATTTTTTAAATCATAATTCTTTCGATATAGACGTATTTTATAAAGTACTATACTTACTTATACGAAGTTGGAATTAGTAAAGTTCGAAGTGATTTTGAATTCTTGTTAGAACTTGTATAACTAAATTTGTTTTGAAGTTGTTCTTAAAAGTTGTTGCAACAAAATATGTTCCCTAACGAAATTTCACTCTTACTTATGTCAAGACTAAAATTTTTGACTGCTTCTATGTTATATACCTAAGTATATTCATTTATACGTTAGTTATACATTTTATTCAAAACCATACAAGTAACAATAGTGGTGACTGGTGATAATTACATAATATGTAAATATTTTATTAATTTATTAAAATTCATCTCTGTTTACATAATTATAAAGAGTGAATTTTTTAACTTTTTATCATTAAATATCTTTATATGTATATATATATGCATTCATACATGTATATATATACACATCTGAAAATGCATTAAATAGAAATTTTGAATATTCAATATATTTTATGTTAATCACGTTTGAATATCAAAAGTTACTATTATAAAAAAAAAATCTGTATAAAAATGATAAAATTATTAATTTTTTAATAAAGGAATAAAAGAAATTTAACTACTATAGCTATGTATAAATAAAAATATAACAAAAAGTAGCAGAGGGAGAAGATACTAGATAAGTATTTTAAATTAATTTAGTTTCATAAGCTAAATTATGGTTTAATATTTAAACGTAGGCATAATACAATTAACATACATATTATTTAGGTGCAATATATATATATATATATATATATATATATATATATATATATATATATATATATATATATATATATATACAGTAGGTAGTATATTATAATTAACTTATAATGTATGCATTAAATATGAGCGACTGCATTATACTATATTGATTATAATATTATTGCAATCAAATTAAATCAAAATCACTAACATTCTAATATATTTGATATACATATATACATATTTAATACAAACACTGATAAGAAGATTTTAATGCACATTTTACATACTTTGAAAAAGAGCAAAAAAATAAAAATTTGAGAAAAAAATACATGTTTCAGTTGAACTTGTTAAACTTGTTGTTTTGTTATCTATTTCACTGACCTATTCATATACACATGTTAGATATGTAGAATATGTTCGAACTAGGTATATGAACAAATAAACTACATGGGTATAAAACAAATATTTATGCATTATGTTAATATTATATTATTAACTTATTTTATTAATACATATGTACGTATGTACATGTTTATTTATTTACATTTGAATAGTGATAATTATTTAAGAAAGTATATATGTAGCACTGTAACTCGCATATATATGTATATATATATATATATATGCGATAATCTATTTGAGCCACTATTAAAGGAATTATTTGAATATTTGAGAATTTTGAAAAATTCTTAATTGAAACTGGTATCCGATAAATGAATTTTGGAATTTTTTGTCTTTAAGATTTTAAAATAATATCAAAAAAAAAACTTGCCTATTGATTTCAATTTGTCCGTCTTTCTTTCGTCTATTCGTTTGTTTACAAAACTTGTTAAACGTTCAGAGGAATCGTATATCTAGAATAACATTTTTTCAATGTCTTTTCCCTCAAAATTAATAGCATTCTAAAATCTTGCAAATTTTTTTAATTTTTTTAAATATCTATTAACATTTATCTTTGTAATTTAAATGGTGTTCTTCGCAAATTATTGAATCTCTTAAAATTAGCAAATTGTTGATTTTTTATATTTGTTTGACTCCATAGGCTCGTTTCGAACTTCATAATTATATAAGTTAAAGTTTAACAAAAATTATATTTTTATTCAGAAACAAATGCAAAGTCTCTTAAAATAACTTAAAACGTAGAATAGAGGTCAAACTTAATTTTAGTTAATTTTAGTTAGTATAAAATTTTACTAAAAATTGTTACTTTAAGATTTTTTTCCTAATTTTATGCAAAATTACCCAATAAACAATTTGTTAACGATAGTTACATTTTTGGTCCCATGTACCAATTATTCTAATGGGTCGTTTCCTTATTTTGACCTAAAGTTGCAATATAAAGACAAGCTCAAGATTGTTTTAGGTGAATGTGATATATATCACAAAATATAGGTGGTAAATGAAGGTGTAATAGAACACAGAATGACAAGCATAATATTATTTTTCGTTATTAAATCAAAAATTTCGAATTTGAAATGTGTTCACGTGTAATTTACCTTTAGTCAAATTTACTTAAAGATTAAATCTTTATTTAAGGATTTCCATATTATAAACATTTCTTTAAAAATTTTTCCTTTATACCAAATCTATATGAATTGTTACATTTTTTTTATACGCGACATAATTTTTTCTCTCAACTGCTTAACAATAAAATTTTCTTTCTTATTCGTTTGCCAAATATTTTATGAAAGCATATCGCCGAAAACCACATACTTAAATATGTATAAGTATATATATAAGGAATAAATATAGTTTTTCTACCAAAAATTTTTTATACCGACCTTCTTTGTTTACTTGTTCTTTATTAATGAAATTGAAGAATATTAGGGAATTAATCGATTTTTATGAATTATATTCTTTATGTACATATACATAAGTATATTAATATACATAATATATTGTATGTAAGAATAAGGTCCAATTTCATACAAGAACAAAATTCTTATATAAGTCAATTACAATCCACATATAATATATATACTTATAAACCAGCACAGATGAAAATTAATAGCATATAGATTACATACTTATAGGTAATATATATAGATCACTATGTATATACATATGGAAAGTACATTGAATTTATTCTGTCAAAGTAAATATGGTTATTACTCCCCAATTCTATTATTAAATCTAAGAATAAAAAAATTTTTTTTTATGGATGTATCTAAATATAAACTTTTCTCATCCTTATTCTTAAAAAAATTTTTTTTTAGATTTTATACGGGTAGATATTTTAACTATACAATGTAGTATATATTATATCCTTAAGTAAATATATATATGTATGTATATAAGTACATAAGTATATGCCCGTACTTATAATGTATTTTCAATAAATATTGTACTGCTAGCGAAAAAAGGAAAGTTTTCCTTTTCGTAGTTTATATAAAAGTATTCACACATACACCTACGTATATATTAGATAGATTTAAAAAAAAATAACAACAAACGAGAATAATAATAAAAATATTACAAAAACAAAAAAT